CAGAGCACCCACAAAAATGTGGCCCCAGAGGTTATTTGGATCCCTTTTACTCAGAGGGTCTGTTGCAAAGATGCAGCGAGCAGATTTACCACTTTCAGGCAAGTGGAGAAAGGGCAGACAGGGCAGTGGACTGACATGAGAAGCGCAGTGTGTGGCTGCATGGGCTTGGTTCTGGGCTCTGGGAGAGCTGGAGAGCAGGTGGCGGAGACAGTGACAAAAACCCTGTCAGATCTCATTGGTATTTAGACCAGGGAGCCCCAGAATAAGCTCCTATCATCACATCTTTTGTACTGCACAGAAGAGAGCACAGGGATGTGCCCTGATCCCTGCAGCCACCTCTCTCTGGAGCCAGGGAGCAAATCTGCCTCCGTGGAGCTACCCCAGCAGCCCAGCCTACCTGAGAGTCTGGATCATGATTACTGATGCATCTTTTTATGGTAGAGGGAGACAAAATATAAGAAGACACTTAAGTCTTTCCTGAAACAGCATTTCCGCAGTATATGTGATACACATTTACTTCCTGTCACTTATTGGGAATTCTGCAAGGTACTCTGCAAAATTTGATAAGGGTTTTGCCACTCATGAGTGACACAGAGCTGGGATCCTTCCAGTAAACTCTCTGTCCCCTGCCCCAAGCACATGATCACATCAGCAATCTGCCCTGTTACAGCCACCCAATCACTGCTGACTTCAGTGGGAGCAGATCTGAGCCTACAATCACCACAGATCATCTCCTCAGGCTTTTTGTTTTGCAATATCGACGAAAAGAGCGACAAAAAATAGTAACATTGCACTTCAAAACCTACTAACAAAAGCCAATTCAACAATATACCTCCAACAGTATTCACAACGTGCCTTTAAACTGCCTTGCCATACTACACAGAGCAAGTGTCAGTGTGGGGAATGGAGAAAATGTTCCTTTGCTACCTTGTAAATCAAGTTTTAGTGCACTGTGTGGCTAAGATTTGCTTTTTCGTGGCTCACAAATCAATATCAAACACCAGTGTCCATGTCAGTCATTTTCATGCTGGTATATTACCAAAACATACTGTCAGCTGAGCAAAACAGAAACTGTAGCTGCTCTTTCCAAAATCAAAATATCTTCCACTGAAACACTTTCACTTTGAGGATGTTGCTGCTTAAGGACATTGCCTCTCCTTCCACTGGCTCACTTCTGGCATGGCCCAACAGGTTTCCCCTTGATGAAGAAAGATTTCTCTCCTTTTATTCCCCATACCCTTAGCCCTTTTGCCTCTCCTCTCCACATCCTTACCTCCAGTATCTAGGACACACTTGGGCTAAATTCCACTGGCTTTGGACCTTTCAGCCTCACCAGTGACACCTCCTCACCTCGGGATACCCTGGCCACTCTCACCCTCCCTCCCACCTAGACATGCACCTCTCCCCAGCTTGGTCGTAGTGCCTCCACAGAAACCTTCTGTGAGCTTTGCTTCTTCAAATTCCTCATTCCACAGGCTCCACATGGCTGCCCTGATGTTTTGGTCATGGCTGTGGTGGGCACTGGATGGAGGTGAGGGAGAGCAGAACAGCTGGGGTTGGAATGGACCTCTGCAGATCACCCAGCCCAACCTCCCATCCCCCGCCCAGGCAGGGTCACCTGGAGCAGGTGATACAGGAAGGCATCCAGGTGGGTTTGGAATGTCTCCAGAGAGGGAGACTCCATGCCCTCTCCGGCCAGCCTGTCCCAATGCTTGGCCACCCTCAAGCTAAAGAAGTTCTTCCTCGTGTTTGGGTGAAACTTCCTGTGTTTTAGTTTACGGCCGCTGCTCCTCGTCCTGCCGCTGGGCACCACTGAAAAGAGCCCGGCACCATCCTCTTGGCACCCAGCCCGGAGATATTTATGTGCATTAATGACATCCTCTCCCAGTTTTCTCCTCTCCAGACTAAACAGGCAGCCTCTCCTCATCGGAGAGATGCTCCAGACCCCTTATCATCTTCACGGCCTGCGCTGGACCCTGTCCAGCATCGTTTCCTCGTCTTTCTTGCCCCGAGGAGTGCGGAACTGGGCGCAGATCTCCAGATGCACAGCGGGGCGGTGTAGTGGGAGGGGAAAGGGGGGGCGGGCGGGGGTAGTCGGGAGGGGAGGTCGTTTCCCCGACGGGGTGCCCCCCCCCCCTCCCCCCGGGAGTGATGCGCGGCTCTTCGCGACATTACGGCGGGCGGGCGGGCGGCACGCCAGGAATGCGCGCTCCCGGCGGCGGGGCCGCGCTCCCAGCGGCGGGGCCGCGCATCGGGCGGGGGCGGGATGACATCATGAGAAAGTGGCGGCGTCCCCGGCAGCGGGCGGGCGCCGCGGGGAGGGGAGCGGCGGGCGAAGAAGGAGGGAGAGAGGGAGGGAGAGCGGGCAGGAAGGAAGCGCCGTCGGAAGCCCCCGGGGCGGCAGCAGCGCGCATCCTGCATCCCGCATCCCGCATCCCGCGGGAGCGCCGCGCCCGAGCGGGATGCGCGGCTCAGGAGGCGTTCCTCCCGTCCAGCGCGCACCCCGCGGCGGGCGGCGGCGCACCCGGGTAGCGGGCACCGGGAGCGGGGGTGGCGAGCGCGGCGGTGCCACCGGCGGCGATGCACACCCCGCACCCCCCACCCCTCCTCCCCAAACCCAGCCCGTCCCCCTTTGTGTGCCGGCGGCGGGACCGGGCGAAGGAAGCCCCGTCCGAGATCTGCCCGTCCCGCCCGGTAACAGCCCCGGCGGCCCCATTGGCTCCCTTCGCCGCCGCTTCCTGCGGCCGCGCCGCCCCCGCGGGGGCTCCGCGGGCCCCGCGCCAGCCCCGCCCGCCGCCGGCACCGCCCGCCCGCCGCGCAGCCGCTTTTATGAATGAAACACCGGCCGCGTGCTCGGGCAGGGGGGGAAATCTCCCCCCCAACCTCTGCCCGACAGGAGGGGACCGGGAGGAGGGAGGATGCCGAGGCGCGGGTGCAGCGCCGGGCGAGGGGGAGCTCTGGGCGACGCGGCCAGGAGCGAGTGTTTGGAGGCGAAGAGGCACCATCCAGCGGCTGCCCCAGGGGCTCTGCCTGCACAGCCTCAAGCTGCTCCCTAGGAAGGTGTTGGGCGTGCAGGGAAGTCGTTTAAATAGGGTGCCTGGGTTGTGCGTGGAAGTCAGTTAAATAGGGTCGCCGGGTTGTGCGTTGCAGGGAGGGTCAATTCCAGCTCGAGAGTGCAGGGTCGTGGCGTGTTTCTCCACTAAAAATTGAAACCTTCCCCGCCGGCTAAAGTTGTGAAAACAGAAGTGCACGTCCTGGGCGTGAAGCACAATAGGACAGGCGGGGGGACAGGGCACGGCTTCCTCGCCGAGGAACCCTCTGGGTCGCCCCAGGGGCTGTGGCATGCAAGGGGAACTGAGATCGTGGGGCCTCCGACATCCTCCTTCTCCTAACAGACGAGGACAAAATGGAGACAAATGGTCAAGCAAACGAGTAAACTAGAAAAGATGGGCAGACAGTCCGTGCACGGAGATTACGTAAACACCCAACTGTGCAACAACATGCCCTGTGATCTTTGGCACTGCTTTCCCTGCAGGTCATGCAGGAGAGATGCTGTGTGACTCCATGGCATGTCCTCCCACAGCATGTCCTCCACGGTGTGTCCTCCGTGGCCAGATTTCCCTTCTGCTGCCCTGGCACCAGCAGGCGATGCTGCCCTGAGTGTGGTGCCACCAGAAGATGTCTCAGCTACCTGTGCAGCACCTGGGTGATGCTACAGCACCGAGGCTCAGGTTAATCCCAGCGCTCCGGTTTTGAGGGGCAGGCAGCAGAAAAGGCACGGTGAACCCCAATTTATGGCCTTCCCACTTCTCCCCACCCCGCTTTGGTGCAGGACAAGTCGTTTCTCCCGCGCACAGGCTTCACCTCCGGCGTTCTCCAGCGGGCCTCAAGTTCCCCCGTCAGCCCCTCGAAAAGCCAGAGTTTAAAGGGGTACTATTTTTTAATAGAAACGAGGCAAACCAAAGCATTTTCAGATATGGGCAGCTGGGCCAGGGAATGGGGGTTATTTACAGCAGGGCCACATCACGCGTGGACGGGCTGTCCTGGCGACGCGGCGCGTCGGATGAGGCCCCGGCAGGCTCCGGCGGCTGCCGGCACCTCCCTCCCTCCCACCCCCTCGCCCCAGCTCATCTCCCTGTAGGTGCTGGAAGAAGCCCTGGCCACCATTTTGCTGCTCTGCTGGGATATTTTATTTCTGGGTGGCTGTGAGCCGTGGGGGTTGGGTGCCGAGAGCGCGGCCTTCCCGGAGTGCGCTGCCGCCCGGATCAGCTCTCCTTGCCCTGTCCCCCGCCACCTCCGTGCCCCTTCGAGGAGGGTGAAACCTTTAAAGTGAAAGGAAATATGTTAATAATTAAAAAAAAAAATTAAACAAATTATGGAATATTAGAAAAAGAACCATCCTGGCAGAGGAGTGGGCGCCCTAATCCTTTAAAAATTCTGGTGTGCAGCAAAACCATCCAGGCTGGGAAAAAAATTGGAGAGAAGAAACGTGGGGGAAAGCTCTTCCCTTGGGATCAACTACAAAGAGCAGGCGTTCGGGTTGGAGAGCGTGTCTTTTTAAAGGACAGATGTGGCAGGTACACGCCGGTGACAGCAATAATGATAATAATAAATTTATAACGAACAGCAATGCACTGGTAACTGCTCCGCTTCCCTCCCCGGCGCCCCCGTAAAATAATACCGAGTCTCCTTGTATTTCCCTCCCTGGTGTCTGTGTGTGGCCTTAGCCCCATTCATCATTTGGCTCCCAGTGCAGAACTCGCTCCATTTTTAAAATTATGCATGATCCACTGAAGAGACAATTTGGGTTTCCCCCACCTCTCCCTTGCCCTTGAAGAAAGCGAGCCCTTGTCTCATTTGCATTAAACCCCTGCTCTCTATAAGCTAGGCAAAGGGGAAGGACTTGAAGCCTATGGGATGGCTTTAGGGCTCTGCCCCTTGCTTTTGGCTCTCTCTCTCTCTCATTCTCTCTCGTGCTTTGATCTCTGCTTAACAACAGTAACGTCACAGGGACTATACAGGAGAGTTTTGTTGGAAGTTAGAAAGTTTTGCAGCCTCCAGAGGGCTGTAGCGGCAGTAGCAGAAGCAGCATCCAAGGGACTCCTGGAAGGGGAAGAGAGAGAGCGAGCGAGCGACTGACTCAGTCCTGCTGCAGAGAACTGACTCGAGGCGACGGAGGCAGACATGGAACATCAGCTGCTGTGCTGCGAGGTGGAGACCATCCGACGAGCCTACCTGGATGCCAACCTCCTCAATGACAGGGTGCTGCAGACAATGCTCAAGGCGGAGGAGACCTGCTCGCCCTCCGTCTCCTACTTCAAGTGCGTGCAGAAGGAAATCTTGCCATATATGAGGAAAATAGTTGCCACTTGGATGCTGGAGGTTTGTATCTTTTCGGGGGATTTTTTTTCCCTTTGCAAAGCTTCGGCACCGAAACGAATTAATCCGGGGAGCTGCTCCCCCATCTCCTGCCCCCCCTCGCCCCTTCCCTGGCCCCCATCCCGTCCCATCCCATCCCCTGGGATCGCTTCCCCGGCGCGGGCACACGTTGTCTTGCCCTCGAAAACGCCCGCGTGTACCGAGGGGAAGCGGCCCCGAGGACGCGGTCGCCGCCGCCGCTGCTGTCGCCGGTCCCGTGTCCCCGCTGCCGCCGCCGGACACGGAACACCCCCCCCTCCCCACCGCCACCCCCCGACACACTCCGCTCCAACCCTGCCCGGTGCCCCCGGGGTTCTGGGGCTGCCCCGGCACCTTTCCCGGCCGTCGGGGCACGGCGGTCCCGGCTGCGGGGAGCTCCGGGCAGAGCCGGCTCGGGGCTACCCCGGCCCGCCGGGGGAGCGGCCCCGGCCCCGCAGCCCCCGGCGGCGCCCGCCCCTGCCAGCCCGTGTGTTCTGGGTGGATTTTTTTTTATTTATTTTAAATTAATATCCTTGTACACGTATGCAAGCGGCTGGCCGTGCCAGTATTATGCGCCATCTTTGTTCTTTTATTTGCAAAGCAAAAGTGTTTATTAATCGGGAGAAAAAACGAAGAAAGTCCCGGGGAGCAAAGCCAAGGGTGTGTGTGTGTGTGTGTGTGTGTGGCGGGGGGAAGCGGGGGAAGGGGCCGCGGGAGGAAGGTCGGGGGGCCGGGGGACCCCGCTGGGGCTGCGGGCAGGGGGACCGGCCGGAGGGGCTCCGGCGTTTCTGGGGGGAGTTGCAGGGTGAAAGTTTCTTTGTTCAGCGCGAAGAGAGGCTGGAGCTGCGGTCACCCCTCAAAGGCACGCTTGTGCTGCGGCGGCGAGCGGCAAGGTCGCCTGGGAAAAGCCAGTTGGAAAGGGCCTCGTCCCTGGCGGGACACGTCTGGGGGGGCTCCCAGCGGGAGCCCCAGGAGCTGGGCCACATTTTCGTGCCTTTTCGGAAGCCCTGGGCCCCCGCGATGTATTTTTAATTAATTTTTGAAAGCGCAGCGCCCTGCCTTGCTCTGGGAAATGTCGCGCCCGCCTGTGCTGCAGGGCGAGAGAGGGAGGCGGTGAATTTCACTTCGGGGGACCCCCCTGGAACCCCCTAGCAGGACCAGAGGAACGGGGCTCGGTAAAGGACCCCCGCCGCTTCATTTTCAGCCTTTTTTGAGAGCTCAAATAAATTTTTAAATATTTTTAAATATTTTTTGAAAAGATGACGTCTGGGGAAATGAGGCTGGACGCCACCTTTGTGTCTCGACCAGAGAGGGGAATCGGCAGCACAACGGCAAATTAGATGAAAAAATAGAAGCGAAATAAATAAATCCGGGACCAAGCCCAGCTCTGCACCCCGTTCCCAACCACGGGGGTTTGCATTTTCCTCCGCTTTCCGTTTTCTTTCCTTTTTAAAAATTTGTTCTAGGGGCTGGAAAACTGGGCACAGACCTCCTCTTCGATTACCCCCCCTCCTTTTTTGCCATGAATCGCCTGCGGGTTTCTAACGCAACATTTCCCCCCACTTTGTCACTCGTGACTTTCATTTTCTTTGATGCCGCTGGTTTTCCCATATTTATCCATTTCCCCCACACTGCATTTTCCCCTCGTCTCCTTCAACCTTGCCCTGCAAAGCCTGAGGGTGAGGGAGGAGGGAGGGCGAGGGCAGCGGGACAAGCCTGGCTTTCGCCTCTATTAAATTGTTCTTCAACGATCTTTCTCCTTCTTTCAGGTTTGCGAGGAGCAAAAGTGCGAAGAGGAAGTTTTCCCCTTGGCTATGAATTACTTGGACAGATTTTTGTCTTTTGAACCCCTCAAGAAAAGCCGGTTGCAACTGCTCGGAGCTACCTGCATGTTTGTGGCTTCAAAAATGAAGGAGACTATTCCTCTGACCGCAGAAAAACTGTGCATTTATACAGATAACTCCATTAGACCCGACGAATTACTGGTAATTTCACGTTTAGTCATTTCAAGAAAAAAAAAAAAAAAAAAAAAAAAAAAAAAAAAAAAAAAAAAAAAAAAAAAAAAAAAAAAAAAAAAAAAAAAAAAAAAAAAAAAAAAAACCAAACCAAACAAAAAAAAAAAAAAAAAAAAAAAAAAAAAAAAAAACAAAAAAAAAAAAAAAAAAAAAAAGGAAAAGAAAAAAGAACACAACCACAGGCCAACGCGGTGTATTCGGAAGCCCCGCTGCTGGCGGTGTGGCCGCTGCAGAGGCTCGGGAGGGGGATAGTGCCGGGATAGGGAGCGGGACGGGGATGGGGCCGGGATGGGGACCGGGACGCCCCCGCGCTCCCCCGGCCCCGTGGGCGGCCCGCGGGCTCCCCCTGGTGGCCCCGCTCGGGGGCGCGACGGCCCAGAGCCCCCGGCCCCCAGACTGGGGGGACCCCCCCAAAAAAAACCCCACCCGCATCCCGCTTTCCTTCTTCCCCCGGGGAAAACTCTGCCCTCCCAGCCCGGCCGGGAGCCGACCGGCCCCGACCGCGGTGCCGGCGGTGCGCCCGTGTGCGAGCGGCCCTCTAACCACGCTCTCCCCCCTCTTCTTCCCCTTCCTCTTCTCTCCTTCCCCCCTCCCCTCCCCCCCTTTTTCCCCTCCCTCTTTCTCTTTGCAGCAAATGGAGCTGCTGCTGGTGAATAAGCTGAAATGGAATCTGGCCGCAATGACCCCCCACGATTTCATTGAACATTTCCTCACTAAAATGCCTCTGGCAGAGGACACCAAGCAGATCATCCGTAAACATGCTCAGACTTTTGTGGCTCTGTGCGCTACAGGTATGAGCCCTGCACGTCCCGCAAAGCGTGTTTTGCTCCCCGACCCGCGCCCACCCCCCGCCTTGTAAAGCTTCCCGTAGCCGTGGTCTCAGGCGCGCTCGCAGAGCTGCGGGGAGGTAGTTTAAGCCCCGATTATTGCCCCTTGTTTGCAGAAGGTGGATTTACTTTGCCAGAGGTAAGTTTCTTTTGTTGTTGTTGTTGTTCCAGAAGATATTTCGCCTCCTGAGTTTGCAGTTTGTGCTTGTTGTCAGGGAAGGGAGAAGGACCCCCCCCCAGCCCCTACCCCCTCTCTGTGGAGTCGCAGCTCAGCGTGGCAGGATCCGCACGCACCGGTTTGATGTGGGGGGCTGCAAAAAGGCTTACGGGGAATCCCTCCCCGTGTGTGAGTGGATTCATTCTCGAGACAGTTTTTAAAGGCGAGCAGGGAGATTTTTTTTTTTTTTTTTTTTGCCTGTGAATAGCTCTGCGTGGGGGGTTTTAAAACTTCCCCTCTTCAAGTTGCCTCTTTCTCCCCCACAATCCCCACCACCACCACCTCCCTCCTCCTCGGTGGCTGGTGGATTGGAGGAGGGCCACGCGGCACAGAGGCTTTCCTGGCACAGGACCGAGCCGCTGCCATCTGCACCCTCCTGACCACGTGCTGTGCTGGAGCCATGAGCAGGGCCGGCCTCCAGAGATGCCGAGTAGTGGTATCCGCACTTGGGAAAAAAACGTCGGTGGGACACGCACGCGCGTGGGCCAGTGCCACAAATTAACGCCGTGTAGTTTCTTTGTATGAAAAGATAGAAGAACGATTGCAGGCACTCTGAAGCAAGGGAGGGGGGGAAGAAAAGGAGGGAAAAAAAAAAACAAACAAACAAAACAACAAAACTCATTTCACAGAGTCAGCCCTTACTGCGAGGCCTAAAGATAGAAACAACCAAGCCATAAAACAGAAATTTATAAACACTGGCGTCGCTCTTCATCTTGGGCCTAACATCAGCATAACAGGTTAGATTGCCTGGAATAATGCTGGGTGGTGTTAGGAGCACCACAGCCTCCCAACAGCCTGCAAACCACCGGCAGCAGCATGTTGGGAAAATCGATTGTAACTCTCCATGTAACCCTCAAATGTAACTGTGCCAGGTCCTACCAGATAAGGCTGCTGCGACTCTGAACGTGTGATTTGCTAAGTGTGAAGCTTCCTCGGCCTTTAGCTAAAAAAGAGCAGCTACCCGGCCTCCCCTTTGGATATGGGGATGTTTAACCTGGGTTGTTGTGTTGGCAATGACAGGGATGAAAACAAGGGTAGTTCAAAGGTTGGAGACTCGCTAAGAGTCCAGTACTTTGATCTACTGTCGGTGTTGTTATGTTTCTTTTAGGAAGCAACATCCAGAGCCCTTATTTAACACTGCTGCACACCACAGCTGGAGAATGGATCAGTAAATGAGAACCATGTTCTGGGAGTTTTACTTAGCTTTTTACACAAAAACCCAGCGCTGAGCTCACCAGAGCTGGGGCCCTCTTCAGCTCCCTACTGAAGTTGGGAGCATTGCCTGGGGAAGGCTGCCACTAGGCTCTGTGTTTTTTATTGTTATTTTTGGATGTCAGGAATTCCTCTTACCTTTTCGCTTTCCTCACGCCTTCTTTGTTGGCTAGCAAAGATCACATGTGGCTTAAGCAGCATCTGGACTTTGCTTTGCTGTTGCTGGGTTGTGTTGTATTTCCCCCTGCCAAAATGAACCGAGATGGACTGCAAATGCGTTGTGCTGCCTGGATGCTGTGGGGCCCAATCCAAAGTCCACTGGAAACACTGACACTCGCTTAAGTGGCCTCAGGGGCAAGTGCAAGTCTATCCTTTGCCTGTGTCCTCTTCTGTAAAGGAGGTCCTCCTAAGAAGAGACTGCAGAACAATGCTTGCTTAGAAAATAAAGCCTTGGCCGGTTGGCTTAACAAGGTGAAGGCTGTGGAAGTGTTTGCAGATGAGTGTTGTATGTGTTTGTTCCAGAAAGAGAAGGTTACGCTGCAAGGTGAACTTGAGGGGAATTCCTTTTAAGCTCCCTCTTCAGTTGTCTGGCTAGTAGAAGTGGATTTGTTTGATTTGGTTTGGTTTTGAAAAAATCCATTTTCACCCAAAGGATGTCTTTGTGCTGTGGTAGGTTTGGTAGGAAAAAAAAAAAAAAAAAAAAAAAAAAAAAAAAAAAAAAAAAAAAAAAAAAAAAAAAAAAAAAAAAAAAAAGAAAAAAAAAAAAAAAGAAAGAAAAAATTACCAGGGGTTGTTTGAAGTTAACACATAATTGAGCTTAATGAATGGGGCTTTGGCATGGCCGAGCAAGGCAGGGAGAGCTCAAAAGGAAGCAGGCCTCTTTTGGCCCAAGTTAAGACCAGTGTTGAGGGAGAACTGCAGCTCTATACAAGCATAACAATGAATAGCAACAAATATTGGAGCTTCAGCATTTCATTATGTTCCTCTGGTTATCAAAACATACCAGGCTCCTCTTTATTATTATTATGATTATTTTTATTATCATTATTATGACCATTATTATTGCTGTTGCTTCACTTCTCTCTGAGGGAGAAAGAAAGGTCCCCCTTTGAAACAAGCGCGTTACAATTCTCCCATTCTCTGGCCTTTTATAAAATTGGAAGTCTCAAGGTATGTGACCAGTTGGAACCTGTTGCATCTTGCAGCAAGTGATTTATGTTCGCAGTTTTGATTTGCCTCAATGAAAAGATTTTCATTCATAGCCCCCAGCTCTCCAGACGGATGGAATTGCTGCTCCATTTAAAAAGGAAAAGGGGTGACTCGCCTTGTTAGGAATTTTTTTTTTAAAGCGCTGCAGCGCCTATATGCCTGCTTTGTCCTCCCTTCAGGGTGGCTGGCATTCTTCTCTCTCCTCCCCCTCCTCTCTCTCTCTCTCTCTCTCTCTCTCTTTTTAACAACGCTGAAGTTGTTTATTCTTTTTGGATGAAGTCTCAGATAGGCTACTGGGGATGTGTGCTTCAATTGATGGGGCCCCCTACCCCATTGTGGCTGTGTCAGGTCTAATTCATCTCACCGAAGCCCCCTTGTTCCTGAGCGCTCAATAGCGCAAGATGAGGCGATGGAGGCTGACAATGATGCCACACTCTTCACTTGGGGGCATCCAATTACAGGCGAGAGGGGCCCCCTGATTAATATGCTGAAATTAGTGGCCTCTGCCACAAATAATTCCTTGTTGAGTTGCAACAAAAAGGCAGTCCATGCTGCTTGTCTGGAGTGGTTATAGGGACAGACACAAACTGGTCATTTAAACTTCATTATCACTTTTCCACCTTGGAAAGAATGAGGGTGTGACTATGAATTCATGTTCTTGTTTACTGCTCCATTTAAAAGAAGAACGCAAATATTAATCCCAAACGTGGTCCTGTCAGGACAGAACTCATTAAACTGACACTTTTTGGTCATGTTCTGTTTGTGGAGCTCGGTAAACAGTGTCGTGAACGTGCTGCAACCCCATCTTGGTGGGATTCATGCTTGCCTACTGAAATGCCCCATTTCTGAGGCCTACCTGCTGTGTGTCAGTATTCCAATTAGGGATGGCCTTTGGAATGTGTCAATAAGTGTCAATAAGCAGCCTGGACTACTTTGGTTTTTGGGAATGACAGCAGCTTGCTAGAAGGTGGATGTGTTTATACCTGCCTGGAAATGGGCAGATTAGGAAAGGGGGATAAACTAAATTTATCTTGAGCACGGTAACATGAATGAGATGGCTTTAGGTCGAGCTTGCCTTTTTTCCCTGGCAATGCATCACAAAAGTCTGGCCAGAATTCATCCCATCAGTTGTAATTTTGGAGGTTTGTAGAGCTCTCTTGGTGAAATGCCCCTTTGAAGGTGGGTATTGGTCAGGGCCACAATGGAGTGTCAGAGGTGTGTGAATAGACTCAGAGCCAGGACTTTCATGGAGTCCTGAAGTCTTTAGTTTCACTGGTAAAACATTTACACAAAAGTTATTTTATCATAATAAAGGAGATGCATGATTTAATACTTAAACTGTTCCACTGAGCCCTCTAAGCTCTCCATGCCTTTGATTTCATTCAAGGGTTTGACAGATGGTTTATATTTTTTCAACCCGGAGGAAGTTGTATTCTGATAAAATGCTGAAGGAATGTATCTCAGGTTCTGGTGTACAATGTGGCATTTCCCTTCCTCCCTCACAAAATTGGACGTTTACTTGTGCCACTCACCTCCTTTGTTCCTGATTCTCCTCCCAAGGTGTGCACTGCCACAGATCAAACACATTCCTGCTCAGCAGAGTCTTAGCAATTAAAATGGGTGTTATTATTATTAAAAAAACAACAAAACAAAACAAAACAACACCCTCAAAACAAAACAACAAAACGAAAGACATGCTAAATGGCAGAGATAGCCCCTTAAGGAATCATGGGAGTGGCTTTGTGGAGAGACCTACAGCAATGCAGTCTGGAAGGGGGCCCAGCCTCTTGTCAGCATGGTGTCACATCAGAATGTAACTGATTGTCCGCCAATTCTTGGGACCCCCGTCACTTAGTTATGCCACATTTACATTAAATCCCTGTTGCCAGGATGGATGGCAGCCACTGACAAGAGACTAGGTTGAGACAAAGCGTTTTTAAGATGAAACCGTAATTTAAATATGGATTATCTGCCTCCTGACAGGGTTAAGCAGCCTTTCTCTTTTCTTTCTTTTTGTGGATGTTGTTGTTCATTAAAGCAATATTCCTTTGAATGCCAGTGCAAAGGTTTCTGCTTTAAAGGGCCTGAGGACTCTTTATGAGAGTGCACCTAGGGTCTGATCCTGCGAAACACTTCCCAACGGGAACAGGTTTTCTCAGATGGATAGCGCCATTGACCCTCAGTGGCGTTATCCACATGAGCAAAGCATTTTAACATGGAGGCCCTGCTTACGATAAAAAACACCTCCAAGTGATGAATGGCCTCCCAGGCCCAGTGCTAGGAAGGGCTACTCACTGCAATAAGGTTGCTCGTGGGGATAAAGTGTTTACAGGTTCGGACCTGTAACAGTTTGGAGCAGGAGGCACCTTTCTGCTCACAGTTTCCCCTCGCCTTTTGGGATGCAATAGTTGGCAGCTGAAGCCATGCTGGTGGAAGAGTGTATGTGTATGGACAGGCTTCTCCTAAAGCAATCATTTCAGTCTTTTTTTTTCTCTTTTTTTTTTTCTCTCCTTTCTTCATACAGATATTAAATTTATTTCAAACCCACCTTCCATGATCGCAGCTGGCAGTGTGGTAGCAGCTGTGCAAGGCCTGCATCTGGGGAACACTAACACTTTCCTCTCCTATCAATGCCTCACACATTTCCTATCACAAGTTATCAAATGTGATCCGGTAAGTGACTCTTTCTCTTGGTTGATCTCCTGTTTTTTTAAGAATGAACTCCTGCTCGTTGCATAGTAGCTAATTTGACAGTAAATCCTGGTAAAAGTCAAAGCACCGAGTGGGGTTTTTGAATGTGTTTCTCTTGTGTCCATCCTGGTTATTTGGCTGTCATTACATCCGTTAATAATCTGTGATTACGCTGCTGCAGTGCCACATCCAGCTCTAATGTGTGTGAGGGAGGCGTTATCTGACAAAGCCCGGCATCCATTCAGGACCTTGCAGGGGCTGTTTGGCTGTGGGTAATTAAACCAGGAGTCTGTGTAAAACAAAACTTCGAGAATAAGACCAGGAAATAGTTACTGAGACCTCGTGGTATCTCTGACCTTATCTTTGACCATTCTCGAGGCCTTTTATTGTGCCAAGTGGTGTGAAAAAGCCCTTCTTAAAAGAGTTCTAATGATCTAATTTGGTTTATTACGTGCTAGACCTGCACAGTAGCTGGTATTGAATTCCTTTTTGGAACAAACGCTTGTCCCACGACTTTCTGACAAGGTAGATGGTCCTCACAGGACTCTCATTTTGCCCTGCAGCTTCCAGGAGATGCACATCAGTAACTAGTGAGCAATAAACCTTTCATGAGTGAATGGGCCAGGAAGGGAGCCTACAAGGAAGACCTAAAGTCAATGATCCATGTCATAATGGTGTGTGAAGTTGGGGCAGAGTTGAGCTTTGTTTTGTAACAATGTGGAAGACCAATAAATAGATGCTTTAAAAAGGTTCTTGTGAGGTCTCCAAGCGCTGGACAATGAGTCAAATAAAGACAACTCTGTGGTTAGCGGCAGAATCTTTGAGATGCTGTTAAATTATTTTGCATGTTAATAATTTTAAATGCTCAGAGAACTGTACTAGTCCAGCCACTGCAAAACTAGGTTTGTCTCACGGGACTTTGTTGACAGGATTGAGGGATTTCTGGAAAGATGAATGCATCATAACTGAATATTCACAAAAAAATTACTTCACCTTTGATAGACCACGTGAAACAATTGCTGAAAAATACAATTTCTCAGCTTATTATGTTGATCACCTTAACAGTGCGTCAGCATTGAGCGTGTTATTTTTTGCCATTTATATTACTGTGGCTAAAGTAATAACACAGTGCTGAAATGTGAAATACTGTGAGAAGCTGAAATGCTGAAATAATAACACTGCTCAGTTTGATATGTACATGTAATGCTTTTAGTGAACAATGCAGATATTTCAGTGTATGGGTTGGCCACTGTCCCGTGTGAGATGTTTGAAGCAGGTACTGAGGGGAAATACTAGGATTGCTATCTGTTCAGGCAGTATTTTGATTCAAACAACATTATTTAATCATTCCTGATACAGAGCATTGAAGTAGATTCTTTCACATCTTGGAGAACAACAGCAGGTCCTTATGTGAACTTGACTTAGCTGGTGACAGAGCTCTTTAAAAAGAAAACAAGTGTTGTTTTAGCAAGAAAGCGAATTTCTGCTTATTTCATTTTCTTATTGTCCATAGTCAGTGCAAGGCCACAGTCTGACCTGAGCTTAGTTGACAGCTTTAAAAGGAAGCAACTCCCCTCCAGCTTTCAGTGCTAAATATACGCATGTGTTGGAGCAGTTGGAAGTAGGGATAAGGATTTTTATATGGGATGCTACAGAAAATTAGCATCATAAAATTACACGTGTGTGTGTACATACACTGTTGAAGTGGAATAAGGGAACAGCAGCTCTCACTACAGTTGCTCTGAGCAGAGAAGTCTGGTGGTTTCACACCCAACACAATTCCCCCTGCAGAGAGACTTTCCCATAAGATGTACCTGTGCAATCCATGGTATCAAATGCCCTTCCTATTAGCCTGTTTCAGTAGCACGTGTGTGAACTGTGCTGTTCCCCAGTGATGCTTCCCCTTGTCAGCTTCACAAGTGGATATGCTTTATACTGGATTGCCTTGAAATATTAAGATGCTGATTATCTGTTAGCAGGTCTGTTGGATTTCAGGTTACATAATTACACTTTTTTACCTCTCATCTCAGAGAAAGCTGAACCTAAAGTAAAATGAATATCACCTGATTAGAATTCCTTTATGGTTCATGTTTACGTTGGTAGGAGTCCAATTTCCCATTTCGCCTTTGATCAGGGGTAATTAGAAGTCAGATAATCACAATTAGAAGCCTTGGGCTGTCTTCCATCATTCTATTCTTGACCCCATCATCCAAACAGATGGAATTTTACCTGACATTCATTTCCAGGCCAGAAATTTGCTAAACTAGATTAGATTGGGTCTCCACGCTGTCTGTTAGTACACTGGAATTCGGCTCCTGCCTGCCCCTTCTCAGAGGCACCTTCAAACATGTGCTTGTTATCCAGGACGGGTCAGGCAGTAACAAAGGATTTCCAAGCAGTTTCTTTTTGTTGTTGTTGTTTGTTTCCTTTGCTATCTGACCCTGGAGTCTGATCCTGTCTACTGTGTCTTGAAGGTATTTCACCACATCAGTTAAACTAGAAAGTCTCTTTTTTTTTTTTTTTTTTTCTCTTCACTGAGGAGCTTAATTAATCCAGGAAGGGTTTATGACCTTGAACAAACTGTGGGCATTGAAAATTTGGGTAGTGAAGCAGAAAAGTTGTTGGGAGAAGTTACCAGAGTAATGCACAAGTTCTGTATTTGCTTTTCAGTGCTCAGAAGCACTGAGAATGGAAACAGCTTTGCTTAGGTAGTTCGTAGAGAATTTTATATTTTGCAGGTATTTTTGCTTAGCTCTAAATGCATTCCTGCAGGCAAACTATTTATCTAATAATCATGTGAATAAGAAATGAACAAAATCCTTAAAACATTAAAAAAATAGTTCTCATTCAAGTGTAGCTTCAAACAGTCTGTTTGTAATAAATTGTAAAGATTAAGTTTAAAAAAAAATACAGTTACAACATGCTGCACGCTTGAGAATTTCAAAGGAAAAAAAATTCTGTGGTCAGAAAGTACCTTTAAATTACATAGTCCTGTGCAATTATTCATAACTGGACTCCAGAGGGAGAAGAATAGGTATTTATAGAAATTCTTTTGAATGGTTTTAGTTTTCAGAGCTCAAACATGCTGTATGCAAATGGTTAGGATTAAAAAAAAACCAACAACCCAACACAAAATTCCCATCAAAACTCACCAGACAATCCACTCCCCCCACCACAAAAATCAGAAAAAAACCCACCCCAAACCCAGAAGGGTTCATTTTGCTCTGAACATAAATTTCCTTTGAGCATGGAAGGCTGAACATGCCACCTTGTTAAAACAAGAATTCTCCTCAGAAGCGCCTGGGTTTGTAAAACCAGGTGCTCCTCTTGAACACATCGAATTCCAAGTGTGACTGAGGGACGTGGTACAGGATGATGAGAAGGTATTACAGTTCAAGATTGATCTATCATATCTTGAGGAGGGGGGGGAAAGGACTTCATAGAGACCTTATTGTGGAGGCCTGAGGTATGCAGGAGCCAAAGGCATGATGACTTTAGGATATGAGGCGTTTCTTTTTGTCATTTAAAACGCTGTGTGTCTCTGTCAAGAGGAAATATTACACTAGGGTTTAAACCAGGAAAGGTCATAGGTTATGTGTTTTCAGTGAGCTGTAACTGATGGTCTGATCTGCTTAGAGGTAGGATTAACCTCCCTCTCTCTCAGAAAGGACTTGCAGAGAATTGTTTGCTTGGGTTTCTAATCTTATTTTACCCCAAATGCCATGTGCCCTCATTGGTGGCAGAGGAGATTCTTGTGGTAGTGGAATCAGTGAAAAGCTGGTAGATCACACAAGAAGCCTCTGAATGAAGGCAGAATTGAAACTGGGAAATAAAGAAAACAGCAGGCAGGTCACCCTCTCAGGAAAACAACATTCATTCTCAGTCATGCACATCCTAACACTTTTGACGGCAATTTATCATGGAAGACTGGGTTCACCGCAAGGGCTAACACATGTCATAGGTTAAATCAGAGAAGGCAATGCTGAAAGGAAACTTCAAAGTCTTTAATACACAGAGTTAAATATGTTGGGGGGGAAAAGCCTGCAATGTTTGTTATAAAGATACGAGTAAACAGCTGTCTGGAGGAGTTGTGGCAAAATATTGTGGGATTGTTTTGCCTGCGCAAGGCACCGTTCCTGTGTTGTTCCAGTGGCTCCACAGCTCGCAGAAAGTTGGACCAGCAGGCCTTCTCCAATTCTAATTGCTGTGATTTAGATATGACTACTCATGGAATGGTTTAATGCCTGGGGGGAGTTACCTTTCCCCACCACAGACATGATCCTCCTTGGTGCTTTATGCTTTTGATTCATAAGCGAAGTCTGTGCCCTTGCACCCTCCTGAAGGCTCAGGAGGATTGTTGTGCACATCCAGCTCTGAGAAAATGCTTTGGAAGTGAGGGAAAAAAAGATCTCACCCTGTCTGAGATGTCAAGGCGAATGTGGTAGCAAACAGAAAGCTTGGCTTTAGCTGGTAATGAAAGGTTATAGAGGAGTTTAGTGGTGCTCCTGAAAGATCTCTCCCTTTTGGGGTCATGCAGTCCAGTACATCATTCTGGATGTACAGATACTTTCAAGAGTTAGGAAAGGCTTAGCCAAGTTGAGCTGCCCACTGTTGGACACAGCAGCAGTTGGCAGGAACCTTTGGGCATGTACATCCAAATATATATATGGCACTTCTGTCTAAGAAGTTCATATTAGTGGAATTTAGCCTGAGAAAATAATCACTGCTTATGGCCTTCATTTCCAGCAGACTGCATTGCCAAAGCATTTCTGGGGTAAAAAGGTAGAAAGCACAATTTTAGGACCAATGACCTCTTAGAGAACAGCACAGGCAGAAAAGGTACATCTTCCTGTGGTCCTGCCCAGCTTAGTTAAAACACATCTCAGTGTAGTGGGGCATCCACCACATTCAGCTGGAGGTTTATGGGCAGCGATGGTGTGTCCATGGGGATGCTCCCGTAGGCCATTCCATCTGCAGCAGATGGCAAGAGTTAGTTGCTGAAGTCTCAATCCAGGCTGGCATCCTGCAGAAAATTGGGTGGCTCATCCCAGTCTTGTCACTGTTCGAGGTTTCTCTTGCTCTCCCCGCCCTCCTCTCGGCCTGCAGCTCTCCCAGGTCATCTGATTATATTCCCCTCGCTTTTTCTCAAGAAATGCTGTTTTAGTCTGTGGCCTTACCGTGTTTCTAAAGGACTCTTGGGTCTTTCTCTCCATCCATTCAACCTCCTCTAGGATTGTTTACGGGCCTGCCAAGAACAGATTGAATCCCTCCTGGAATCCAGTCTACGCCAGGCACAGCAGCACAACGTATCTTCAGAAACAAAGACTGTAGAGGACGAAGCAGACCTTTCCTGCACACCCACTGATGTGCGAGATGTGAACATTTAAGAGGACTCCTTCTTCTTCTTCTTCTTCTAATGGATTTGCTTGGCAAGAAAAGCAGACAAAGAAAGGGCATCTGAGAAGGAATCAGCATCAGGATCTCCCCCCCAGAAACCCTTTTCTCCAGGACATTTTTATACCAGAAGGGAAAACCGGTCTCGTTATATTTTTTTCTTGCTCTGTCTCCCTTCCATCTGTGACTTCAAACAAACAAATAAAACAAAAAGTACCCCAAAAACTGTCTTA